TCCATGTTCTTTTCCATTATCGCTTGTCGGTGAAGGGAACAGAATGCTCAGCATGGCCAGCCTCCAGGGCACTCATGGTTGCATTGAATGTGATCGTGTCCTCAGCATGGATGGCTTATGGGCAGTCAACTTCACAAGTTCCTAAAGGAGGTTATATGGGGGATGAAAGAGGGGAGTCTTATAAGGTCTATAGGGTCATTCTCAGAGTTCAGGAGTGTTTCGGAAGAAGAGCACGACGGCATTTCAAGACTCTTTCAAACACCCTTCGGCACGTTGGGGCCTGGCCTTGTAATTCTGGGAAGTTATTGACTGAGCCAGCTGGTAGTCACACTGGCCAGAATCCTAGAAGTCCTGGCTATTGTTAACATGACTATGAATTTTGCTGCTATTACTATTGCGATTACCATTGCTATTATTGCCGTTTTATAGCTACTATCAATATGGATTTTGCTCTTACGTGTACTGTGACCGTCACGGATACTAGTAGTATTCATGTTCATCACTTGTGGAATACAAAGCTCTAGTCAACCATGACCTTAGCCAAGAGTCAGGCGTGATGTCCATTTCTGGCATGTTGCGGAAGAGCTGCATGGATAGCCACCACTGGGCATTCCTCGGTCACACGATGGAACAACGGAATTTTGGTTACCCCAATCCCCAGAATAAGGACCTTATCAGAGTCACATGATAGCGATAGGACCCTCATGTCGGGGTTTGGGGTTACAACAATCCCATTGGCTATTTCCTGTTGCCAGAAAATGCTTCGGCCAATTTGAGGGTTTTCGCGAATCCAGGTTCCTTTTCGTGCGTACCTGTAACAAGGACCATGTCGGGTCTATATTGGGACGCCGATGTTGGAAAACTCTCGGCTCTCAAGCGCGTTCCAGAAAGCCTACTTGAAGCGTCCAACACTGCCCGAGCTGCTTGCCGCATGCGCTGATGACGGCGTTGCCGCTGACCGCATCTGGTATGGCCTGCTATAAGTGCGCTTACACCACAAGCCCGCGTGCCTATAAAGTAGGTTGACATGACTAGAGCTCCAAAGTAATCAAATAGTAACCCAATTTGGTCTCAAGCATATGTTATATAGTAGATTGCCTTCCGTGTGTTATGCTTTTGCAACAAGTCTGGGGACTGACTGCTTCCGACAGCTTGAGGAAGCTATGAAATGGTACTTTTGAAAGCTGACATAGGCCCCAGATCCAATAGGCTAAAAAAATCCAGGATCTTTACTACTGTTACTATTTCTACTGCTTTTAGTACTATGATTATTACTATTATGACTACAATTCCTATTCCTAGTTTGGCTGTCTGAGGCAACTTAGGATGCCAGTCTTCATGAGCTAGTTGTTTTCGAGCTGCGCAACACGATGCCTGACCACAGGTGCTAGATGATGCATGGCGCCACGCAGATGAGCTGAATAGACTATAAGGGGATATAGGGGCAATATGGGGATAATTGGAAAGAAAATAGAAACTGTTATATTATGCTAGGGTATAGACGTATGTTCAGCTCGAAGCCATGCATCATGACCTCAAAACACTTTAAAGCCAAAAAGAAATGTCTAGAACTCCATGCTGAGTACTTCCAGGGATACTTACTTACAGCCCTCATGAGCGCAAGTAAGACAAAAGCAACCCTGAAGCCCGTATGTACCTAAGCATTTCCCCCCTAGCACTTTCAAAAAGCACTGTGCCTGAGCAGCTGGCATGTCCTGCAAGGCAGAGCGTGACAGGAGGCGGATATCAAGAAGTGGACTGTCAGGGCGTGGGCCAGGAGTTTAGGATTCGGGGGGCTGGGTTTGGAGTGAGACACAGCAGCATGCCGGAAAGGCATGCGCAAGAACTCGGAGGTCCCTTTTGAAGTCTGCATTTTGGCATGGTGATAGTTAATCTATTGAATGTTTTCAAGTTCCCTGGTTCAGGCTTCATGCTATTCATGTCGCGGAAGGTTGGGGATTTGGCTGTAAAGGTCTTCCCGTGTAGGCCCGATGGCCAAACTCCCTGCCAAAATCTGCTCGTTTCAGTCGGTATGGCCGTTGACGCAAATGCAGAACTCCCATCAACATTTTCAAACCACGATTGATCGGCCGGGGCTCCTTAATCCATTGGGTCGGACTACACCACATCCCCTGGTGAACTCAAAATATTTCGAAATGGTAGATGTCTCTGAACACGAAGCTAGTCTATTCTGGTCAATCTGACCACCTTCACCCGCACAGGTACCATTACTGCAACACCGACCTTACCATTGTTACCATAGCTAGTTCAACTTTGCCACGACTAATTAGTGCTGTCAGGTATATGGTGACTAGTACCAGATTAGCGTTTGCGGTTCGCAAATGACAAAACATCTGGGTCCTGCAGAAGCTGGACCGCCACCTCCCATCGGCTGCCCTTTTCCTTGAAGCGGGTCAGGGGCAGTGTAGCAACATTGACGTCAAGGGCGATGGCAGCGGCTTTGACATTTGAAATAATTGGAGGCTCTATTAGCTGGAGTCTAGGCTCGAGGCTTCACACATCGGGATTACAGCAACTTGTGCGGCAGACTTGTTCAGGAAAATACGCTTCAAGGACACACAGAGGATGTGTTTCTTCAAACGCATCATCTTCCAGAAAGCGAAATGACCAGCGATCAGCCCCGCGCATTCTGGAGCACGTGTCGGGACTGCAGTGCAGTGCAGGTACATGTTCAGCCCATAGGGCTGGGGGGGGCAGAGGTCGGGCCGTGAGTGTGCTCAGCTTCGCCAGCATAAACCAGACCCCCACTCAACCCCTAAACCAGATATCGGAAATCATAACCACTAATGTTAACCTACCACTAGCAGAGGAGGTGGCAATGAGCTGTTCCCGCTGGGCCCAATAAAAATGTAGTGGTAGTGGTGGTGGTAGTA